GGGGGGGGGGCAGAAGGGTGGTTTAAACGGGTGAACACGTCGCAGCTAAGGTCGCGGTGGACGTTACTAGGTCACTGGAGTGACCGCGATGCATTGCACCCACTACCGCCCCTCCCTCCAATCCCCCTTGCTCGTCGTCCCCCCATCTTCCTCCTGCCCTGGTTCTCCCGATGCCCTTTCTTTGATGCTTTGCTTTCCTTTGGAATCCACGAGGGCAGAGGGAATAAGGAGATAAATTCTCTTTCTCTCTCGCGTTATCTTTCGTACATAAACAGAGCGATTTAGGGTACGTTCCACTTGACGTTTGCAATCCTTATGGAATCAGTTCATCCTTGTTGTTTAAATGTTAAACAAGGACAAATAATGCTCACGAGCTTGTTAAGTGTCACTGAAAAATGCACCCTTAGTCGACACAGTCCTCTCATGATTCTTGAATTATATCTATATCGGATGTATCTCTGTCGAGATTTTGTAAATTCTTGAGAGTTCAGCGACGGAGTCTCATTTCGGTTGCATTTTTATTACTCTTTTTAATGATTGATTGCTGCTCACTTCTACCAATATAGTCTAATTGTTACCTCTCTCGGTTTAATTTACTGTTTTTTTTTTCAAATTTTTAGAATTTGAAATAAAATGTAAATTAAATCAAGATTAAAGTTGATCTACATTGATCTACAAAAATAAACATCATTCATGATCGATGTAATAGTAAGTTTAAAACTTAAATAATCAAACTCGCGAATTACGCAAAATGTGCTTATTACTTTATTGTCTTAGAATCTGTTTGTGTTCAAAAAATTTGTTTAAGTCCTCCGACTAATTGGAAAACTCGTACTCGTGAATCTCTTTTGCGACTGAAATATTCAGTTATCGCACGTTAAAACAGAAATTCTGTCAAAATTAACTTGACGATATTGCGAAATCGAAGTGAGTTTTTTCCCTCGGCGAGAGTACTGTAGCCTGCTGCACTGAAACCTCAAGTTCGAGTTCCCGCATCGCTCGTTTACGCTTCGGCAAACCGGTTTCGATAATTTCAGCACCGATGAAAAATCAAACCTCGGTAGAACGTGCGAATGTAAATCACGTAGCTCCAAAACACAATCAAAATTAACGATAGACGAAACAAACACATGAAATATAAAAATGTAAAATTATCTGTAAAATACTGTTACATTGTAAAAAAGTAAAATTAACTTTACGAATCAAGAATCAAAGTATGTCTGGCACAAAAATTATAAGTTAACTTCCATATTAAATCTAATGGATATCTCGCAAATTAATATAAGAAACCCACTATTACAGATTAAGCATTTTTCTTCTGACGAAAATTTTATCAATCATGAACATAAATTGAAGATTTAATCGATGATAAAGAATGTATTGCATAGACAATAATCACTTCAATGGTGAAGAAAAAAAAAACACTTCATATAAATTCATAAAAGCGAAGTGATTAGAAATAAGCTAAATTATTATATCAATATAAATCAGCACAAGATGTCATCAATCCTCCCTTCCGCATTCTATTCTACAAAGGTCAGCAACACAGCTTTTCAATGCTCATTTGGCTTGTTTGGGTGTGTATCATTCACCTTGATTTATTCCTATTGTGCTTTAATGCAAACCTTGTGATATTTTTCGAGTTTTTTGTATATACCTGCAACACATAGGATCTCTTTTTCAAATGCATCTTCACGGAAAAGAAACCAAATTTTAAGAAAATTTAAAGAATACCTGAAAGGCCAAAGTATTTTCCGAGAAATAACAATAGCTTGAGAGGGTCAGGAAACGTCTACAACAACTTTAAGATTGTACTTGAAAAATTTAAGTTCCTTTAAAAAGTAGATAGAGTATAGGACTATACGAGAAACTTGGAATTTTTCAGATACCATTTTCTATACAACGTTAAATATATATTTCTGTAGTTTTCCTCGAAATAGACTTGTAAGGAATCTTTTGTTTGAAAAGTTGCAGACAAAAGGTTATTCACCATTGTTAAGAATGTTGCCGATTGTTAAATAAATTCTATTTCTCAAGAAATGTTGGATAATAGTTTTAGAAAGTGCATCGAAACTGTTGTTAAAATTTTAACGTTTCTCCACGCATTTTTTTGCTATTTTTTTATACATAAAATATAAAATTTTCTTTTCCAGCACATAAAAATAAAATACATTTTTCTACAAGATAATGTTTCTCGTGCGTGTCGAGAATATTTATTAATAATGAATCGTTAATTCTTCTCTTTTACCAAAAGGATTAAAGATTTAAGGCGAAATAAGTAGACGAGCAAAGGTATATTTTTCTGGCGACCAAAAACGGACGTGGTTTCGCGGTCACAACTGCGGTTTCACATTGCTCCCAGCAAGATGACCGACGTCAACGACGAGAAGTTAAAGCGACGTCGAGAGAAAGTCGAGAAGATGCGAGACGTGTTTTACTTTCACTTCTCGCACATATCCGCTATGCCGCCGCCGTGTCACGCTCACTTGTAGCTATAGAGTGGCGAATCATCGTTTTGGAAATTCACAATTATCGCAGGTTTCTTGCCTTGCGATTACTTACGCGCGTTTCTCACTTTCTGTACCCTTCATTTTTAATCTTCGTAAAAATAACGTGGCTTTAAAATCACATTTGTATGTTAGATCGTTTGGATTTCCAATTTTAGAATAGAATAATATTATCTTGAATTAAATAATTTCACTTTCCCTAGCTTAAGCTGTTAAACTCGCTTTCTTCGAAGATTAATTTTTGTAAAAAGAAACAAACGTATTTGCAAAATAAATGATTTAAAAAGTGGAACATGGGAGAGGTGAGAAAAAGGATGTTGATTATTATTTCTATTTTTACGTAAAAGTTGAAGACTTCGAGAATTGAAAAGCTAAAAGTTTAAAGGCTTCAAACGTTCATTAAAGTATTTATAACAACAAAATTCAGAGTTCCAAGATCAGAGAAAGTTTCGATAGTAATCAATGTTCTTCAAACGAACTTGAATAGGTACGTACTAAGTACTTATAAATAATTAGAGTATTCTTAAAACTACGCGCGTGTAGAAGTGTGTCGCAGGCCGGATGCTATTTTACTGAGCTTGATGGACTGAAAGCATTACTTTTATTTTTCTAATTTTTTTTTACTTACAAGGTATTTGGTTTACTCCATGCATCACTCTGACATGCAGTTTTCTCATTAGGTATATAAATTATGGTAATGATTCGATATTATATATAATAATTATAATTATAATAATTATTATTTATCATTATTATTAATATTAATATTATCATTGTGTCCAGTATTTCCTCTGCCTTATTTTCGCTACTCACGGAGTGCTTTGCTCTCTTCTTCCTCCTCTCCTCATTCACATACATTTCACCCAATCTCTCTCTTCTCCTTTTCTTTCTCCTTTCAGCAATAATTGTCGCTTCCGAAGGAATGATTGGAGAACTCCGCCGTATTGATTCACGTCGCGCGAGACTGATATAAGGCGTGATCGATTATCGATTAACTGAAAGTAACGCACGAGTCTCGAAATTAATTTACGGTTCTGCAAAAAATTCGCGAATTTCTTTCAAGAATTCCGAGAATTTAAAAATATGGAAATTTAATTGTCGAGAAAACTGAAAGTTGCCACCTGCTTTAAATGTCTAGGATACAACGAGATAAATTCTTTAGAAGTATTCACGAAACTTCGTGCAGATGCTAAATTTTTAGGTGCGTAAAATCCTCTCATTATTGCATTATATGCATTTTTTGGAGTAGACGGAAAATAAACAAATATCTCTGCTTCTCTTATTGCATATGCATTCGCATATAAACATCGCGTATGAAGTCACGGTTGGTTTACGCGTAAACATGTAAGATTGCTTCACGAGATCATTCTTCGAAGTTGATCTATCGGATTATTGACCTCGGGGAATGAAAAAAAAAAGTACGTGCGTCGAATGCTTTGTAAAAGTTGCGACAATGATAAATGGAAGGAGTCTCGTTAATTATTTACGACATGTAACATCACGAAGGGTGAATTAGAAAGTAGATGTGTATCAAGAAAGTTTTGCACCATCTTTTTGTTTGTAGAACGGCAGTTTCAATTGTGTTTGAAGAGCAGCGATCGAGGAGCCGTGGAAGAATAGGCGTTCGAGTATTAGAAGATCCGGCAATTCAAGGATTCATTAACGCAAAATAGTTTAACAAAAAAAAGTTATCGACAAAATCCTCTCGAAATTCTATAAACACCTAGTTCTACTTAAATTGCTAATTTTGAAATGTAAAACTTTAAAGACTTATCTTTTCAAATTATGGAGATCCTCTTTTTCTCTCCAAGTCTTTAAATCTTATCAAATTCGAAAAATCCAAAGTTCTTAATGTAATTCGAAGAAACAAAAATCCTAAATATCGCAAGTATTAAACTTGGGAATGAAATAATGATCGAAGAAAAAAAAAAGAAAAAGACAATTAAAAATCCGTCAAGAGTGCCAGGAATACAAAGGCTTATCACTATATTCGTGAAAGATTTTTTATTTCTAATAACACTGAGTATATACTTTCACGTTTCCTCGTCCGCTCCAGCATACTTTATACAGGAGATCCATATTCAAAAGGTGGTGCAAAACTCTTGTTGACATTGCGTGAACGCGCGAGATTGTCCGAACAACAACAGCGGCGAGGATCCAGCAGTCACCTAGACGTCAGACGAGGATGCGAACTCGTCGGTCACTTGGTAAAAATCGTTACCAGAACGGGAGGAGCGTAAAGAAACGAGATATAACGAGACCGTGGGCAAGATGCGGGAAGGATTTGAAAGAGGAGAGAAACAGAGTAAGGGAACTCGAGAATTCGAGGATCCCAAAATCCATGCGAATCTTCGGGGGCTCCTACGAATCCTCCTTTTCTTTTTTCTCCTTTTCTCTCCCCTTCAGTAAGAGCCGAGGATGAAGTGAGCGGCTGTGCTCCGTTCAAGCAATCGCGCAATAGAGTAATTCATCCATCCATCCGCGTCCGTCCGTCCGTCCGTGCATCCATCTCTATACTACCTATCCGTCCGTCCGTCGTCCGTACGTCCGTCGGTCTATCATCCGTTTAATGATTCAGAATCGACGACGCGGTGCCGCGATGATCGACAGACTTCTGGCGGGCACGAAAGTGCTGACGTTGTTGCTCGTCGCGTCACCGAGCCGATCGGGTCACTTCTTGCTCTTCTTGGTGGGCGGCTCCTGCGCGTCCTGCGAGTCCTCTTCGGTGTCCTCGCTATCGGTAGGTCGTGGTGTCGCGTTGTTGCTGCTGTCGTTGGTAATGAGGGAATCATTCGTGTCCTCGCTAGCGCCCACAACGGGATGATCATTGGCGGTGATTGGCGTCGCCGGTTTGTCCATCGAGTCCTCGGTGAAGGAAGTCGTCGTACTGTTCTCATCGATCGCTGCCGGATCGAGCGCCGCCGGCGTGTCTTTGCCATTTGCCACCGTTTCTTGATTACTATCATCCGACGGCTCTGTCGCCTCGCCGTTACTGGCACTGTGCGAGTTGCCGTTCTCTGTCGAGCCCGGGATACCGTCGAGCAGTTCCGGCTTCAGCTCGGACGCCACATAGTGTGTCCACAACGCCAGTTCGACTCTATGTGGGCTCCATGACTTGCCATTTGACGCTGGAACAAAAAAAAAGTTTTCATGATATTTCAAAAACTAGATCCTTCTCTTGTAAAGTAATTCTGAAGATGTGAAAATATAAAATTCGAAGAATCCAAGGATTCAGCAATGAAGCAATATGACGATGTCATTAAATTCAAGGAAATACAGTAATATGTAATATTTCACTTGAAGGTGCGGAAATATAAAATTAGAGAGGTATCCAAGGATCCAACAATGGGAAATCTCAGCCACGAAGAAATAACATAAGCCTCTTATTTCAAAGACTCGATACGGTAAACGCGTGACTTCAGGATTGCGCGCACGCAGTAAATAATAATTCTCATAATCGCTTACTCTGTTTGTTCAGCCTCTCGACGGTGTTAGAAATGTGCTGGACGAAGTTTAAGTATTCCTTAGTGGTGTAATCGATACCCTCGATCTCCGGTATCGCCATCAGGCACTCGTCCGCCATGAAGGGTGCGTTCTCCGGCGACGCCGCGGCGAGCAGAGCCGACGCCATCGTGGTACCGACGCCCTTCAGATTCGATAGCGCCGTGATCGCTTGCTCAAGATTCGGGAGCTTCTTGAACGCCTTCTTTGTTTCTGCCATCACGGCGCGTGGTGTGTTCACCTTCACCAGGTAGGACAGCTGTGGGTAGAACTTGCCGCGCTGAAAACAAAATGGCAGTCAAGCATCCGTTCTAGATCCTGGATCAGGTTTTGCAAAGATCTTCCTGTTTACATCCATTGCTATATTAGATCCAGTCTCCGCCAAATCCAAACTTTACAGATTCAAACAACTAATTACTTGAAATGTAAAGATGTAAATTATATATATAAATCTCCTCGACAATTATATTTCCACAGAAATAATATTCGGAAATAATATCGTTTTTTCTTTGTATCTAATCGACTTCTTTATTCTTCTCTGTGTAATCTTTTATCCGTGAGAACTAGTTTCGCGCATCCATAAATTATAAGTTATAATATTCTTTTTCTTCCGAATCGCGCTTGTACCAATAGATCATAATAATAGTACTGTACATTATTGTTAACGTGATTTCTCATACCGCTCTCGAATATCATATGAAATCAGTTGATAAAATTCGCTAATTTCTAGTTAATTTAATATTCCAGATAAAACCATGTTCGGACTTGGCGGGATCCGATCCTGGATGCAATTGTCCAAACAAGGAAAAAGCGACTTACTATTTGCTTCCATTTCATCGTCTGCACTAGCTCCTCGTGATTGAGATGCGCGTCCTTGCCGCGTGCCTTGATCTTCTTCGGAAGCTCATTCTGATACCTGCCGATACAAACAACAAGATCCATGCGATCAAGATTGATCCATCGTTCAAGTCGAGAGAAGCAGCGCGCACATACACACACACACACACACACATACATACACACACATGCAGTCTCGTACACCTATGCGCGTACGCATGAGCAAGCGAACAGGCGTGACGTATCGCGCCGCCGCCGTCGCCGTTGCGGAATACAGGAATTCGTTAAAGGCTCGATTAAAAATACAAACGCTGCCGCAAGAAGCTCGACACGCCCCTCGTCAACGATTGGAGGATATCCATCTTTATCGCGCACGTGGATCACACGTGGATCCGCGCCGTGACATTCCGTCTCTCACACAATAACCCATTACACTCGGAATACAAACACTCAAAACTATTATAGGAACAATGGAAACTGTAATGTTATAAAATTAAAGACTATTAAAGCGACGTCTACAATCAGACTTTAAGGCATAAAGCTTAAGCTTTAAGCCTCAAGCCGTAGAAGTAGAAAATTAGCCAATCGAATTATTATTCTCGTATTCAACTGTGATTGATCAATTTCTTACGGCTTGAGGTTTAAAACTTTGAATCTTAAACACGCCGCTTTAAAGAAAATGGATTAAGAAAAATTCAACATAAATGAAGAAGGCTATATTCAGTGAAGGCAGATTTTCGTGCCCAATATTTTCGTAATTTTCTCAATTTTTAATTTAAGTAAACTGAGAGTGTCAATTAAAAACTAAATTGTAAAATTAAAGAAACGTATGTTGGAAAATAAAAAAAAAAGGTAAAATTGAAGTTAGAATCGAAGAATTTAATTTGAAAGAAGAATCAAGATTGAGAAAGAAATCACGATTCTCGTCTTTTAAATTTTTTCCATGCTGACAGATTATTAGAATAATTCGCATCATTTTATACCGAATTTCGCAAAATAATAAATCGGATTTCAATGTTACTACAAATAAGCGGGATTTATCATAATTCAATACCCTTGTTTCAGAAAATCTCGCATTTATTGAGGAAATTATTAAATATGTAATGCGCGTGCATTGTTATCTCGCGAAATGTGTCAGAATCAATTATAATTTATAAATCAATTAAAATTTACATGTTAAGATGTTTGATAAGTTTTATTACAGAAGTATGTAAATAAATAGTGATTATTATACAATGATGATGTCTTATATGAGCTAAACATGATTAAAAAATCGTTTGATCTCTGTATTAATTATATTAAATGCTTAATCGCATTGGACAAACAGAAATATTGAAGTTAAATTTGTATCTACAAAATTTGGAAGTTCACTCCTACCGAAGTGAAGAAATCAATTTCAAAGACGATAATTGCTTTATGCGTCGTTTTTTTAACGCGTATCGTTAAAACTGCCGTATTTTTTTCCTGCTTGCGTCTCGCAACTCTTTCATTTTTTTTTTCCCAAATAAATTTCCACGTCCGCGTTTACTCTTTAAAGAGATATTTTCAATATTTTCCGAGCCAAATAGCAACGTTTCACAAAGTTGAAACGCGCGCTGCACCTCGTAATACCGCATATCCGCACACGGCTTGGCATCGTGGAAAAGCAGCCTTGACACAAACTGGCCTCAATGGGAATGAAAACAACGGTACTCCACTTCTCCTGACCCCTCCGTCGCCCTCGCCGTCGCTTCTGCAACACGGAAGAAACTGGCGCGTAAAGTCTGTCCTCCCTTTCCCCCTATCCACACCAGCCTCTTACTCGTTCGTTCTGTCACTGTTCCCTGTGTATACCTCTTTTTCTTACAGTCTCAACGCAATACATTGCGATCGATAAAATGATCTTGTTCGATCCTATCACGCCTGCGAAAACAAACAGTATGAACATATCATCGCACGAGATTAATGAAAAAAAAAGATGTATTTGTATCTTGCTTTTTTCAAAATACATTGTTTTTTTTACTTTATATGATTCATTCATTAAAATTGATATTTGTTCGAAACAGTTATAAAGAAATTATCTCTTTAAAAATTATTTTTTATCGACAATTTTTTATTTTTATTATTTTTAAAAAAAGACTGTTCTCAATCATGATTAAATTTTAGGTTCTATAAAAATTATTTATTCACTTTAAGCACGAATAATTTATTCATTACTCCCTTATTAATAATATAATATTCTTTGTCTAATATTAACGGAAACTCTTAACGGTTATCGATTCTTTTAAAATAAATTATTTAAGTTAAAAATAGAGGAATCGCGAGAAGTTATTAAAGCCACGTATTGTAAGCTATTCAGTACTTTGAAAGAGTTCCCATTCTTTATAATTTTTTAATTCATAAACCCTTAGATTTCTAAATTAAAATATAACATATAATCCAATTAAAATTCGTAATGTATAATTTTCTGAAGTCTGTTTTGTTTAAATTTATTTGATGTATTTTTTCCAAGTACTGTACCGGTATTCAAATTTCTTTGTTCTCGAATATCAAATACTGTAAGTAAATTCTTGGCGCACTTTGAATTCTTAGATCCATAGGTCCATAGTCTCACATGTCCTGTGAATCTAAGAATATTAGATTTTTCAAAAATAAATATCAAAATTTATATAATCGTAATAATTTAGTTACTACCTATGAATTTAGTTTCACAAAATTTAGAGTAAAAATTTTTTTTTAGATTATTAGAGTTTTATATCTTTATTAAAATTAATATTGTTCAATATTAAAAGACTATAATTGATGACTTATTTTAAGTATTAAAAGCACTGCTTTCAATACTTTCAGTACTTCAAATAAATCATTTACTGTCTTTTAGTAATAAATGGACTAGAATTAGATTTCTAGTCTGAATAGGATGAATAGTTTTTATTAATATTATTATAATATATAATTAATCTAAATTTTAATCTATCATCAATTATTTAAATTGTTCTATTAATCAACGAATTTCGTGATAAATAGATAATTCTTGTTTATAAACAGACCGAGTAATGAATCATATAAATATACATTCTTTGCGTGATGTCACGAATTACGTAATTCTTTCGATTAATCTGTCCTTTTAAATTTTTTGTAAATGTTACACGAGTGCAATTACTATCACGTGTGGATTAATCATTTTGTCAAAATCAATCGTATCAGCAATGAAAGAGGAAATTATCTACATTTCAATTACGCTCACGTTTTACATGTATTTACACAAATAACGCACGCGCGCTGCAACTTATAATTTATATAAATAAAAAATGCAGACATAAAATATTTCTTTAATCAATATACATTATAGATACATAAACATATAATTATACTTCTATAAACATATATGTATACGTGTGCGATTTATTCCCTTCTTAATCTTTTTTATCTATCCTAAAAAAAAAAAATCTTTGATCAAAATCAAAACTGTTCCACCTTTCGATAAGTTTCAGTTCATTGTCTTACTCCATTATTCTTTTGTTTATCCAGTATAGGTAAATTATCACATAGTTTATCGGAAGACAGAACAATCGATTAAATGAGATTAAAAAAAGACTGTTCTCCGGCAATCACATTCCTGATCGACTTAATTTTATCTGTTCATAATGAGCAGCAATTAAAAAAAAAAAGAAAAAAAAAGAAAAATAGGATCCGCATTCGTTTTTTCATCCGCTCATTCGGGATATCATTCTATCGCGGGACGGCTAACCACGTGACGGCGAGAAACTGTCCATGAGAAGTCCGCGGGGTAAATCCCCCTCGACAGTCGCGAGGGTGACATACGGGTGCGCACACGCGCGGCGTTGCCGCTCTCTCGCTTCGCTCGCTCGTTCGCGAAGAGCAGTGCGAAGCGGGTTCATTGTCCCGCGTGCGCCCTGTGGTAGAGCGCCGTTTCCTCCCTCGGGCCGCCGTAATGTCGGCCCCATCAGCGGCGGCAGCGCGCGTTTTCTCTCTTTCCATCGCGCTATCGCTCCCTCTCACCGTCTCACTCGCTCCTTCTCTCTCTCTCTCTCTCTCGCACACGCACACAAAAGCACATACACACTCGAAGGGGGAAATGACAGCGTCGCTGTGCGTCCGCCGTCGCAGAGTACATTTGACCGTACTTACCAATTGTCTAGCTTGATCAGTTCCTCGGGTTTTTTCGACTTGTGATCGGCTTTGAGACGCAGCGCCTGCGGATAAAGTTTGAGAACGTGATCAAACTGCGTCGCGGTGCCCTCCGCGAAGAAAGTCGCTGTGTCTTTCACGGAAGCCATTGCGATAACGCGGGCTTCGATCGACGGCCGTTGGGGCGCAGCACCAGCGCCGCCTCCTGCCGCTGCTCCGTAAATCGCGTCGGCCGTTCCCGTTGCTGCTGCCGCCGCCGCCGCTGCCACGGGCGGCGTTGCCACGTCTCGTCTGCTCTTTACCGAGGAATCCTACTTCACCCTCGCGAATTCCCTCACCAGTGCGGCGCGAGGAAGCGCGTCGTGTGGGAAATCGATGACGGTAGTGGGAGAGCGCGTACCGAGACGTTACGGCTCTCTCGACTCTCTCGCGAACGGAAAGATCTGTGTGCCTGGACGTGTGCACGTATATATGTGGAATTTTAACGAAAACGAGAATTAATAAGGGAACTGTCACTCAACGTTCTTTTTTTTTTCCCCTTTTCGAAGTCAGCTGCAACCGTTTCTCTCTCTTTCTCTTTGCCTCTCTTTCCTCTACTCTTCGTCTCACATGCGCTTGGAGAGAGGACGAATAAAATTTGTACTCGAACGTTTAGAACGAAACTGTCCTAGCCACTGTGCGACCACACGAGAGAAGATCAGACTGTCGTAAGAACTCTCCGTTGAACCTCGCTCGACACTGGCCCGGGTGGGGAGCCGACGCGACGTTGCCAATAGGCGGCAGCACCGCTCGGGTTGCGCCTCTATCCCCTCTTTAACCCGACTGCGCCTCGCTCCCTCCTCCAGAGCGTCCGTTGTCCGCGTCTCTCTCGCGCGCACCCAGGAAACGCTCCTGTCTTCTGTGTGCGTTCCACACCCCTCTTTCGCTCTATTGGGAATACGTCTGTCACGCTTTCTCCACCGAGTCGCTATCCGTTTCTCTCGCTCCGCTCCGACGACTCCGTCTCGTCCTCTCTCTCTCTCTCTCTCTCTCACACTCTCACCGTCTCGCTCCCACGGAGTTCGTATCTCTCCCACTTGATCGCCGCTTCTTCCGTCTCCCTTCCACGCCCGTTCTGCGTCCTTTTCTTCGCTACCACGATGTCCTTGTCTACCGCCTTTGATTGCGCCTATATATCTCTTACGCGTCTACCTCTCTTTTTTTCCTCTCCTCTCTCTCTCTCTTTCTCGTTCTCTCTCCCTTTCGCGCCACGTCCGTCTCGTTCGCTCTCACGGGGCCGCGAAATTCGGTCGAACACACGCGGCGACGTGCCTTCGACACCTTGTGCAGTGTGTCGGAGGGGAGCGCGAGGAGATTTTCACGGAGTAGCTCCTTTCTCCACTGAACGATGCGGCGCGCCTCTCCTTTTCTCTTTCTCCTTGTCGCACGCAAGCAACACGCACTCGCTCCCTGTTCTTCTGCTCGACAATAAGCGATATTCAACGTGTGACTCTCCGTCGTTCCTCGCGTGCGTGTGTCTCTCGTCGCGGATTATACAACGTGATTTTTCTCCTGTGCTCACTGCCTACTCTCGCGTTGCGCACGAAGGCATCGACGACTCGTAAACGCTGTGAACGTAGGCACGCACGCAGAGGCAGAGAGAAAGAGAGAGAGAGAGAGAGAGAAAGAGAGAGCGAACGGCGATGAAATCGTGCGTTCCTCCGCGTAGCGTCGTACAATTAATATCCGTGTCCGCTTGATTATATATTATAAGCTATACGTTCGCTCGATTTTGCAGCAACGTCGCCCGACAGGCGTGTTTCCACGTAAGCGACTGAGGTTACGTTGCGCGACGACCGTCTCATCGACGACGGAGCCACGGAAAGCGGCGATTGGTCGAGCCACGGTCCTCTCTCCCCCCCCCCCCCCCACCCTCCCTCTTTCTCGCCCTCTCTCCGCCACTCCCGTTGTCTCGCTTGATGCTCGCCTATCGCTGATACTCGACGTCGATATTTCCTTTTTGTAGACGGGAATATCGCCGACGAGATCCGCGCTACGAGGTCGACGATCATCGATGCATTCGCAAATATGCGTCGCTAGATCGATGAAAAGTCATATACGGCTGCGCGATACGAGCCGTGTGCGCATGTGCGCGGCTTCGTTCGTCAGCAAAACGAGCGCGGCCCTGCTTCTGTCTCTCGAAAACGGGAACGCAAGCAGAGGAAACGCACGGTACTTAGCCAGCCCCGACCAGCCAATCGTTCGCTCCGTCGCGCGCGCGCGGGTGTGTGGCCAATAGTACATCGAGCGGCCGAACGAGGGCAGCGCCGTCGCTCACCGCCGCCGCCGACGTTGCGATTGGCACCCCGCCAGACCCTCGCTCCTGTCCCCGATGACCGCTTCTGACAAGCGAGCGAGCGAGCGAGAGAACGAACGAACGAACGAACGAGCGTTCCTCCCCTCGTCGTGTTCGTGCGTCCGGACACCGCATCCACACCGTCAGCTGCGCATTGCGCCCCCCCTCCATGGCGCCGTGCTGGAGGATCAGTGGAGACGCGATGTTCAGGGATGGATAAAATAACTTGGAGTTTGTTCTACCGTTGTTGGTCGGAAATGTAAAAGCATATAGAAATTTCCACCCGACGGACGTTTCCCTTATTACCACAGTAGTGTAGATTTGACAAAATTAACGACGTCACGGCGTAATCTCATTCTTGTTATCGCGTGTCCGATAAGCTCTCCGAAGTTACTGGCAATTATTGTGTAAGGTCATAAAAAAAAATAATTGTCCGAAGCAAGTAAACCAACAGACAACAGGACGCTCGAATTTATTTTTAAAGTTTACATACGTCACTGTATCTAGGTATCCAAACGCGTAATCCGTAGAAAATCGTAGAATACGATTCGCTGTAGGACCGCTCTCTTTTTATTATTATTTTCCCTTGCTACCTTTTTTTTTTCTTACATACACAACTAGAAACTAAACAAACAAGATAATCAAAAGTTTAATAAAATCCAATAGAGTTGTTACAGCGATGGTTATTTGAACTAAAGTTATATAGCTGCCTCTACAGGGACGCATGTATATACTTTGCGAACGGATGTCCCGCGACTGAAACGCTCGACTGTTTCTGGCAGTCGTTTGAAACCGATTTTCGAAGGGTGAATCTTACGCAGCTGCGTTCGGATGATACGCCGGGGTGCGCATTTGCCAAAATTTTATCATCTCGCTCGCGTACGTAAGATAAAGATGTAGCGCGCCTGATGAGCCGTGTTCTTTTGGAACATCCAGTAGAGCGTGTTGGACGGCAATTTATCAAAACTGAAGCATTCCGTGTTGTTTAAGCTCCAAAATCAGGTGGCAGCGCGATACGAAGTGGAGAAATTGAACGCCCGCCCCCCGACTTTGAAAATAATTTTCGTTCTTCCGCAGAGAAATCGCGAAAGGTCAAAGATACAGCGCGTAATCTCTCAAAAGGTCAAAGATACAACAAATGCAATTTTCTGTAGAGAATTCAATTTTTAATACAGAAATTTAACGGAAAATATATATAGTTACAAGCGAATTAGAAAATTCTTACAAAAATTTAAAATAATTTTAAAGATTGTAAAAGAAAAAAATTACATCGCGTATAACACGTAAATGTATTTAAATTAAGCTTATTTAAAATATTTTCTCGTACGCATTAGAATAATTATACAGAAATATCTGCCAAAATTTAAGAAGAATTTAAATAAATCTTTCAACAGTTTTTCACAAAAATTTGGTGACAAAGTAAATATTGTTCGAGTATCTTTCCTTCAGAATGTACGTTCAAATTCCGACTCTCTGTGCGTTTGGTAGGTCCCATAGAGGGACCCACTTTCTGAGTAATATAGATAAAGTTATGGTAAAGAAAAGGGCGATAAAGATGAAGGGAACATTGGGTTTTCCCAGGAGCGTCTTCCTGCGTCTTAACGCCCCGCTTTCCACCGTCTCGCTGCTTCTTCCGAAATAACTGGAGTGCTCGAGCGCGTTCCTAAATTTAAACGACTCGGACTGCCGGAGATTCGATCGTCCTTAAAACTGCGATAATGCCTTTTCCTTTCTGCCTGCCACAGACGGAGCCCCGTGAAGCGGAGTGGAACGGAGCGAAGCGAAGAGAAGCGATTGTGTGGAATATAGGCACAGGCACGTAGGCCAGACAGATAGGAAAGCAAGCAGGCAGGCAGGCAGGCATTCAGGCAGGCAGGTAAACGGACATGCTGGGTATAAGCCCTGGCAACATGGCCGTCGACTCACCGTTATGCGCCTCGTGCCCCCTATACAAAAGAGAAAGGGCCGCGCCGGTCGGTCCGCCCTCTCTGTCCCTCGGGCGCTTGGAAATTCAATTCCGGCACTGCCGCACGGCGCGGTTGCCAGATCGTCCCTCGTTTGCTCGCTCGCTCTCTCCTTCTCTCGCTACCGTCCGTTATCGAACGTTCGATTTACACCGCGCGCGCGGACGCGGGAAGATTTTCGTCGAGGCAATATCACTGCGACTTTACAGGGAAAATTGCGGCGTGACGGAAAATCGAGGAGAATGTAAATAATAGCCGATGCGTGTAACACTAATATGATATAATTCCCCGATTGAAACGAGAATGTGACCTAAAATATTGTGAAAGACGAGAAAAAATATTTATGATAGATTGCTGTCAGAGAACGCTGGATCATTTGTATTCGATTTCCTTCTCGCCTCTCCGTACCACGCGTATCGCGCGCATGAGTGGTTTTTTTTTTTTGCCACATCAACGAAAAAGCCGTTGAGTCGATACATTGATGTATATACATATAGAGATATTAATGCGAGTTCTCATTTTACTGCGACGGTCTTTTAAATCGTTCTTGTGTATGGAATCGTATCAAACGGAACGGATACAGTTATCGAGGGATCGACTCAATTCAGAGAACGCATATAATTAGTAGATCTGCACGTGTACTCTACCCAATCTACATCCACTCCAATTAGTGATTGTTATCAATGCTTGTTGTATTTTCTGATTATACTCGTGATCAGAATTCATTTTTATTCGTATCTTAAAAACGTCTGGAGTAGGAAACTGTGAAATTGAGGAAATTGTGTTTGCTCACTAAAGTGAATATTATTTTTTCCTTTGAATCTTTCATTGTTCATACAGAACATTGTATATATAAATGATCTCTTTAACTATTTTATAAATATATAAATATATGTAGGATAGATCTAATTATTTTAAAAGATTTTAAGAAATGATATTCCTCGTATTTTAATTTAAGACAAATATTAAATTTCTGTTATAATTAAAAAAATGAATGTCTTCAAAAGCCTTTATGTTCTTGAAACATGAAATTTCAATAAAATAGCTCGAGTGAATTTTGAAATTTTTTGACAAAAAAAAGGAATATTTCCTTTTTCCTTCAACTTCAACTTGATTGAAACTATAAATTACAAGGCGTTTCAGACATTTATATGTCTTTATATTTTTTAATTTTAAACTTTATAGTTTAAAATTAGAAAATATAAAGATCAGCTTCTTATAAAATAATATTTCAGAATACTTAAGGGCCACCCCGTACAGATTGTCACAAAGATAGATATAAAAGGTTCACATTGGACGAGCTAAAAATTTCCGGGAGTATTTCTTCTTTTTCGCGAATAAAAAGTGGACGAGTCATCAGCAAGGTGTCGTCAACGGGGAGAGTTGCATAAGATCGAGTCGCGACTTCTCGCAACACATAATTCCGGTGACGTTCTGACGACGGTGACATTGAAAACCCTTCGATTCGTAAACGTAGACAGGGATACCGAGGATACGAAAGAAAGGTGTACGAAAGAAAAAGAAAATAAATAATACCGCAAGTCTCTATTCCCGAGTCAAGCGTGATGAGTCACAATAAGTGTCATACATTTGACACTTTTGACAGATACAAAAAATTGAAAATACGAGGAGATTGAGAATGTGATTTCTTGGAGGCAAATACACTGACATTTCGTGCCAATTACACGATGCAATTAATATACATAGATACAGATATCGATTATTACAGGTATTATGTATATGTAGACTATATTTATAGAGATTATATTTTCTAGGCGTTACGAGCTTGGAGGAGAGAGTATTTACCATTTATTAGCTAATTTAATTTACCTTATTATTATTTCAAGCAGTTCGTGATTTCTAGTCCGATATATGCAGGATGTATTTAAAATTTACGTGTAAATATTATTAGACATCAAGACCTAGTTTCGATTTACTTGTGGCCCTTTTCTCTCTTTAGTTACTTAATATATAATTTCCTTGATAAAATTAATCAACAAATATAACTGAACTAAAAAGTTCTCGTAGAGAAGTGTGTTATGGATTTTCTGTGGCACGTTAGAGACTATTATTAAACCAATTCAATCCTCTCCTATATTTGCGCCTTTCTATTCTTATCTATTCATTTCAGTTCTCGCGACGGAACAATAGAGAATGAAAAAAGCATTAATTCTTTAATCAAAATTAAGATATGTTAACGAATTCTCTTCCGTTGTTACGAGCAATGTCGCGACTTCGTTAGCGACGAAGTCGGCGGTGTAAAAGGTAACCGAGAAACTTCCAAATGCATCGCTAAGCTTCGAAAGATCATCGGTTACATTTCACAAAATAAATTTTCATCC